ATGGTGGCATGCCCCACCCACTACCCTGCGCCACACCCACCGCTCATTTCTAAAAGCTTCCTTTTGATGTTGTCGTTTCGCTGTTAGTTCTTTCCATTCCGAATGATGAGGGTGAAGTGATACCTGCAGAAGAGAACTCGTCCAAGCGCTCTCTCCACGCTCTTGCTTGTACAAGCTCGGATCAGCAGGAAGTTCTATCTAGGGCATTTGGAAAGCTTCTTTCTTCACTGTTGAGTTGATTGCTACCTTTTCATAATGTGGTTCAGCCACACCACTCACCTTTTCTGGTCGCGGGACATGCTTTCAAGGATGAATTTTTTCGCTCTGTATGGGTTTTCAATGATTTTCCTCTGCATAACAAGTAGTTGTTCCAGATACTGGAATTTCACGCAAATAATGTGGAAGAAGCGTTGCAACGTTTGCTGATCTCGTCACCTAGCACCATGGAGCAATTCATGCACGTATTAACCAAGCTTGAACAAGCGACTGAAGAGCTTAGCAAGGTTTCTTTCTTTTAATTGTTTCCAGAAGGTGTGAGGAATGACAAAAATGGCTCAAGTCTTGAAACTGGATAGTAACACTTCCAAAATCTTTCACGAGTATCCCTGTTTAATTCTGGAGTTAAAAAGCTTTCTGTCACTTTTTTAACGCCACTTCAGCCCTACTTTCTTATGAAAAATGTGTTAGACTTACTCGTATCCCTCTTCACTCCTGATGATTGTGTTTTTGCAAATAATGTGTCTTGGCCGTGCCTAAAAATGACGTTTCAGACTTCGGTTTTGATTGTTGACTCTATCGCAACATTCTTCCGTGGCAGTGTTCATAAAGATGACTTCCAGAATTGGCGACGAGTGCTCACCATTTTGTGCAACGTGGCTCTTCACCATAATGTTGCAGTAGGTCTTCTATTATACAGTTCACGTGCTACGTTTCGTAAAGACCGGCGTCTCTGAAAAAGTTTGATCCTTTTCGAGAGAAATCGCCGATTCGGTGCGAAGCCGAGAGGAAAAATAATGAGTTCGCTCTGAGAATAACGCTTCGCAATGTTCAAGCTTTCGCGATGACGCGCTCAACGCGCTCCACCTGCATGACGCTTCAGGCTAGAACGCGGAACGCCTAGACGCCGTATCGCATTCCCACCCTGCGCTGGTCTCTTAAGAGATAGAGAGATTGTATAGGAGGCCTAATATAAAACAGCCTTCGTGCCTCCTATCTCGTCTTATATCTCCTAAACTCGACGCCGGCGCCATTGATACCCGTCTCCGGCTGCGTTACCGTCTAGCGTTAGAGCGCTGTCACAATGCTAGTACATCATCGTGAAGTCTGAACGCTGCCTTCGAGAAGCAATGATTGATCTATCACCTCAGACCCACTGTTCGAACGATACTCCCACATGAACCATTCGCAAATTTTTATAAGACCCTACCTAACTATCATGATCCCGCGCTATTTCTTAACTGCTGGATTAAATTTGTGTATAGCTATGTGAATCATGTGGCCTCCCGAAAAGAACCATCTTCCGTGACATGGCAACAGCACCGTTTTTCTCTCGTGTACTCGCACGGCGTCCAACTACGAGGATCTGGTTGGAACGAATTTCTCATGGGGCATGCACGTCAAGACGCATCACTTTGGCTAAATCTCCATTTTATCCGAGAAGATCCTCAGAATTCTCCATAACGGTATATTCTTATTTGTTGTATTTTATTTGATGTCCTGATATTACGTTTTGTAGAACACTGTGATCTCTTGCTCAATGGTGCATCTCCTTGAATATAGTCTTTATCTCTGGCAATAATAGTAAGTTTCACCATCAGTGTTTTTCATCATGGAGCGTCATTAGATAGAGTCTCTTTGTACCTTTGATTTTCTTATGTGTTTTGGAGATCTCAGTAGCATTTTCAGTGATGAGATTCTCGGCTGTGCTTTCTGAACAAGGAAATGTCGAATCATTTGCAAGTAAGTGAACATTTTGGCTGCGTTCATACTTTGCGTAAGCGTTTTGAGCGTACGGCAACGTTTTGCACCACTTAAGTAAAGCCTTTAGGTATCGTTCGAGTTTACGCATTACGACAGCTCTTTGAAGACTCGTCCGCCCGAAATGCTCAAACGCTTCATGGGCCTCAAAACGCTGACGCAGAAGTATGGAATGCTAATCAAAATAATAATCATGTATAGGCTTCATAAAGTAAAGTTCTTCTTAGAGTGTTCGCGCGTTCGCGAAAATGTGTAAAACAATTTTGATACGGATCACCGAAGAAGGTTGAATTCACTTTTACCAACAAATTGTGCCCAATTATTACAGTTGCTTTCAGGGCTGTGCTTTGTTGCAAACGAAACACTTCAAGGGCAGGGGAATTTTCTTAGTGTTAGGATTCCTTCGAGTCCAGACTTCGATACATTTGTAAGTCTGAAATTTTTTTATATGATTCAATGGCTAGAGCTTTTTTGATCTTATAAATTGCCTCGTAAGCGGAAAACAAAGCAGGCTAGACCCACTGTTATTGACAAGTATACTGAGTTATAGGCAGAAGTCGACCCAGGCAGGACTCCCAGCCGCACCGCGACCTTTCCGTGAGTGCCTTCGTATCGGTTACCCCAGCACCAATATTATCCATAACTCACGCATCTTGTGTATAACTCTTTCGAAGCACGAACTGCAGCGTTGAAGTCGTTATTGAATTGCATGGGTAACTGAAATGCCATTTTTGGCATTTGTCAGTCTCTTCATAAGATACGCCACGCATTCCATTCTTCCTCTCAGAACAGTGGCATTACTAGATACTATTAGGCCCATACAGTTCGGAGAAACATGGTTGCGTACAACGTAATGTTGTTATCCTCCGGACAAATTTAGGAGCATTTACCATCGAACAATCAATCAAGCGCTTCCATTCTGAGGGATGGTCCTGATTGCGCAACAGGATCCGATCCGGTATCTAACACCCGGATTTTGCGTTTCTTAGCGTCCTACTTGCCACTACACCATCGCAGCTCAACTGAATGCGTAACCTGCGGCACGAAACTTGTTGAGCTGAGGAAGTAAGAGCGGCCTCGCTGGGTGATGGGTAGCGCACTTTCTCGGTCAGCGTCCGAGTTCCGCCTGCGGTCTGCTTTCCGTGTAGTATGTATTCCCTATTGCCCAATTGAATTATCGGTATTTCAGAACTTTGTGGGAATGTCCGAAGAGAGAAATGAAATCGTTCTGGAACTTGACATAGAAGTCTTTGAGAAAAGTGTTGCTGGATCTTGTACTCATTTGAAGATGAAGCTGCGCCAGAAGCCAGAAGAGGTTGGTTTTCAGCATTGATTGCAACTACCAGAAGGAATGCTTGCTGCTAAAGGGTTTTCCAGGGTCCATTCCTTCAGCTGGAGCTTCGCGATAGGTTGACTGTACATGAAATTCCAATAAAACTTCTGAAGACTGCCTATTGGCCGAAGTACCAACGCCCAGATCTTCCTAATTCTATGGTATGTCCAACTGTTATAAGCGTTCCGAGTTAGAATGATATATTCCTTTTAGATGGGCATTTATTTCCCTCCCGTGAAATCTGTCATGAAAGTGCTACATTCACTAAAAAATGTTACCAACAAAAACATTGTGAGTTTTTAATAGGACTAATCGTTTTGTTTATAGTAGACGACTTTTATCATTTCAGTAATTCTAATTCAGACTCTTAAAGTGAGCAACAGCGGGGAGATGCACCTCAAATGTCTCGTGGAGCACGCAGACATTACGGTCTACTTCACTAATCTGATGAATGATACCATGACAGGTACAGGCTGACTCGATTGAGAGATAAATTTTTGAGATCTGTTTCCTGTCATAGGAAATTACATAAAACTGCACTCAGAGCATGGGAGACCATAGCTTAACTCGTGTTTCCAACTTTTCTCTGCTTAAACTTTCATCTCATATACAGCCCGGTTGCGGTCGTTTTCGTGCTCTCGGATTTGTCAAGTAGAGTCTCGAACCAACCCGCACTTTGAGTTCG